TTCCTCAAAAAGAAATGTTATTGAAGGTTTTCTTCCAGCAGCTGTTAGAAATTACATCTACCGCTCCCATCAAACCCAGTAAATCCTTGAGTTTGGCATATTTTATGGCCCAGATGGGTTTTAAACACAGGTCTGCTGCATGGGAGACCTCTAACATCACCACTGGTCTACCAGGGGATGTAAAATGATCTTATATGATCTTAAATCATCTTTTGCATCCGTTCATTTCTGCTTTTGACATGTTTCTGTTGTCAGTCTGCACCCATTCATTATTGCATTTGCAGTTTCAGTTCAGTTTATTTAGGCAGCACCAAATCATGCGTCCTCTCAAGGCACGTCACAAAGTAAGGCATTCCAAGTGAACCCACTTATCAGTCCATCATGCCAATTAGTTAAAAGTTTCCTTCTTAAGAAACCTCGAGTCACTGATACAAGTCAGTGACTCGAAGCCAACCGCTTACCAAGCAAGCATGTAGCGACAGTGGAGAGGAAAACTCTCAGTTCATCTTTAACATTCCCTGTAAACTTTTTCAATGAGAAATTCTTAAACATCAGATTAGCCATTCACTCGTACCCGAGACCACTGCTACAGCCACACAACAATCCAGCTAGAATGCCCGTTTTCAATATTTTTAGTGCCAAAACACTAGAGGACATACACTCAACAAAAATATAAATGCAACACCTTTGTTTCCGCTCCGATTTTTCATGAGATGGACTTAAAGATCTAAAATTCATTCCAGATACACAATATTACCATTTCTTTCAAACATTGTTCACAAATCAGTCTAAATGTGTGATAGTGAGCACTTCTGCTTTGCTGAGATAATCCATCCCACTTCACAGGTGTGTCACATCAAGATGCTGATCCGACATCATGAGTAGTGCACAGGTGTACCTTAGACTGCCCACAATAAAAGGCCACCCTGGAATGTGCAGTTTCGTCTCACAGCAAAATGCCACAGATACCACAAGCATTGAGGGAGCGTGCAATTGGCATGCTGACAGCAGGAATGTCAACCAGATCTGTTGCTCGTGCATTGAATGTTCATTTCTCCACCATAAGCCGTCTCCAAAAGCGTTTCAGAGAATATGGCGGTACATCCAACCGGCCTCACAACCGCAGATGACGTGTAACCACAACAGCCCAGGACCTCCACATCCAGCAGGTTCCCCTCCAAGATCGTCTGAGACCAGCCACTCAGACAGCTGCTGAAACAATCGGTTTGCAGAACCAAACAATTTCTGCACAAACTGTCAGAAACCGTCTCAGGGAAGCTCAACTGCATGCTCGTCGTCACATTGGGGTCTTGACCTGACTCCAGCTCGTTGCCCTAACAGACTTGAGCGGGCAAATGCTCACATTCAATGGCGTCTGGCACGTTGGAGAGGTGTTCTCTCGGATGAATCTCGGTTTACATCGTTCAGGGCAGATGGCAGACAGCGTGTGTGGCGTCGTGTGGGTGAGCACTTTGCTGATGTCAATGTTGTGGATCGAGTGGCCCATGGTGGTGGTGGGGTTATGGTATGGGCAGGCATCCGTTATGGACGAAGAACACAGGTGCATTTTATTGATGGCATTTTGAATGCCCAGCGATACCGTGATGAGATCCTGAGGCCCATTGTTGTGCCGTACATCCATGAACATCACCTCATGTTTCAGCAAGATGATGCACTGCCCCATGTTGCAAGGATCTGTACACAATTCTTGGAAGCTGAAAATGTCCCAGTTCTTGCATGGTCAGCATACTCACTGGACATGTCACCCGTTGAGCATGTTTGGGATGTGCTTGACCGGCGTATACGACAGCGTGTACCAGTTCCCACTAATATCCAACAACTTTGCACAGCCATTGAAGAGGAGTGGACCAACATTCCACAGGCCACAATTGACAATCTGATAAACTCTATGCGAAGTGTTGCAGTGTGTTGCACTGCATGAGGCAAATGGTGGTCACATCATATACTGACCAGTTCTGAGTCCCCAGACCCCCAATAAAGCAAAAAACTGCACATTCCAGGGTGGCCTTTTATTGTGGGCAGTCTAAGGTACACCTGTGCACTACTCATGATGTCAGATCAGCATCTTGATGTGGCACACCTGTGAGGTGGGATGGATTATCTCAGCAAAGCAGAAGTGCTCACTATCACACATTTAGACTGATTTGTGAACAATGTTTGAGAGAAATGGTGATATTGTGTATCTGGAATGAATTTTAGATCTTTAAGTCCATCTCATGAAAAATCGGAGCAGAAACAAAGGTGTTGCGTTTATATTTTTGTTGAGTGTAGTTAAGAGCTTAAACTCATCTACCTATTGTCTTGATACAACTACCTTCTTTGAAATGAATTTGATTTCAAGAAAGCTGATGGACTGAAAATTGTGAATTGCTCCTTAATGTCAGGTATTTTTCCTAATTCGCTGAAAACTGCTGTTGTTAAGGCTCTTCTGAAGAAAAGTAAACTAGGCCCCTTAGTGATGAATAACTACAGACCAATTTCTAATCTGCCCTTCATTGGGAAAGTTTTTGAAAAAGCTGTTATGATCCAGCTGAACAACTTCTTGGAGACAAACAACCTTCTGGATGGTTTTCAGTCGGGCTTTAGACAACACCACGGCACGGAGACTGCACTGATTAAAGTTTTAAATGATATCCGTATTAATACAGATTCAGGCAAAACATCTGTTTTAGTGATGCTTGATCTCAGTACAGCTTTTGATACTGTGGACCACCACATCCTTTTTGATAGACTAATGAACTGGGTGGGGCTTTCAGGTACAGCCCATAGTTGGTTCCAATCAGACCTCGCAGACAGGGGTTGTGTTGTTTCCATTGGTGAACACAAATCAAAGCAAATCGCCCTGACTTGCGGTGTGCCCCAAGTCTCGTTACTCAGACCACTGCTTTTCAATCTCTACATGCTCCAACTGGGCCAGGTCATAAACAATAACAACATGGCCTACCACAGTTATGCAGATGACACCCAGATTTACCTAGCTCGATAGCCTAATGAATCTGGTCACCTAGACTCCCCCTGTCAGTGCCTAGAGCAGGTTATTGACTGGATGCAGTCAAGTTTCCTTCAGTTAAACAAAGACAAGACTGAAGTTATTGTCTTTGGAAATAAAGATAGGATGGAAGCTATTTCTCAAATGATCTCCAACGGAATAAAGACAAAGACTCAGGTTAGAAATCTTGGTGTTACCACTGATTCAGACCTGAGCTACACTGGTCACATTAAAGCTATGACTAGATCAGCGTTTTATCATCTTCATCAATTAGCAAGACTCAGAAGCCTCATGTCAAAACAAGACCCAGAGAAACTCAATCATGCATTCACCTGGTTCATCTCCAGCAGGCTGGACTACTGCAATGGTCTTTTGACTGGTCTTCCCAAAACAGCTGTAAAACAAACGCAGCTTGTTCAGAATGCTGCTGCTAGAGTCTTAACAAGAACCAAAAGAACCGAGCGCATCACCCCGTTCTGTAATGTCTACACTGGTTACCTTTAAACTACATAATCCATTTTAAAGCGCTTCCACTAGTTTATAAATCACTCAGTGGCATGGGGCCAGAATACATGTTGGAGCTCCTTCCAGTATCTACACCCAGCAGGGCTCTGAGGTCCTTAGGAAACAGTCAGCTGGTAGAACCGGGTCAGAACCAAACAGGGTGAAGCTGCTTTTAGCTACTACGCTGCTATCGGATGGAATCAGCTTCCTCATGACCTGAAATGTGTCCCACCTCTAGAAACGTTTAAATCTAAATTAAAAACCTTCATGTATTCATCAGCCTTTGAATAAATGTTTATGACGCTGCACTTTCTGCTCTGTAACCGCTCACCCTATCTCTAAGGCTGAGCCCGGCAACCCTACGGAGGAAACTCATTTCGGCCGCTTGTGTCCGCGTTCTCGTTCTTTCGGTCGTTACACAAAGCTCATGACCATAGGTGAGGATTGGGACGTAGATGGACCGGTAAATCGAGAGCCTGGCTTTCTGGCTCAGCTCCCTCTTCACCACGACAGATCGACTCAGAGTCTGCATCACTGCAGACACCGAACCGATCCGCCTGTCGATCTCCCGATCCCTCCTACCCTCACTCGTGAACAAGACCCAGAGATACTTAAACTCCTCCTCTTGGGGTAGGACCTCTCTCCCGACCCGGAGTTGGCAAGCCACCCTTTTCCAGTCGAGAACCATGGTCTCAGATTTGGAGGTGCTGATCCTCATCCCAGCCGCTTCACACTCGGCCGCGAACCTACCCAGCAAGAGCTGGAGGTCAGAGCTGGATGAAGCTAGGAGGACCACATCATCCGCAAAAAGCAGACGAGATTCTCCTGCCACTAAACTCGACACACTCCACACCACGGCTGCACCTAGAAATTCTGTCCATAAAGGTAATGAACAGAACCGGTGACAAAGGGCAGCCCTGGCGGAGTCCAACCCTCACCGGGAACAGGTCCGACTTACTACCGGCTATGCGGACCAAACTCACGCTCCTCTGGAAAAGGGACTGAATGGCCCTCAACAAAAGGCCACCCACCCCATACTCCTGGAGCGTCCCCCACAGGGTGCCCCTGGGTACCCGGTCATAAGCCTTCTCCAAATCCACAAAACACACGTGGATTGGTTGGGCAAACTCCCATGCCCCCTCCATCACCCTGCGTATTGACTTATTTATATAACAAACAAAACAACAACAAAAGACTAAATACAAGATCTAAACTTTACCAGTTTAATATTTTTGTACATTTTAAAGTGAAATTAAAGTTTTTTTTCAATTGTTTTAGGATTAAAACACACAAAGTCAGATTCACTAGGAGTTATTTCATAAAAGCAAATGTCTGTCCCTTAAAGCTGTTCAGTACAAATAAAAACCACCCCAGCCGAAGATTATGAAGCGTGTTTCTGGGTCAGAGTTTAAGGAGGAGGTTAGAGTCGCTTTAGGACAGCTAAGCAGTCAGAGTCATCCCCACGTGAAAGTCTTTTTACAACAAAGAGGAAACAAGACAAACTTTATTCAACCAGACAAACCAACAGAACATAAAACAAAGAGAACACGTAGCAGATGTAGTTAGACAGCTTCTCTACCAACGGACTCCCTAAAGAGCATCCAGCAGAGTCTCCACGGCAACGGTTGTCAGGTCAGAGTAAAACCGTCCCTCGTTGTCTCCGCCTCCGAACACCAGTAGAGTCTTTTTGACGACGCCTGCATCCTCTTTGGAGGGAAGATGGTGCGATGGTGTTTCCATGGTGATGATGGAGTGTCCCGCCCTGGGAACGGAGAGTTGTGGCAGCGTCAGCTCAGTCCAGCTGTTCGTCTCTGAAACATCCACACGAAATTCAGCATTTATGTTCAGGGCTCTGTTTCATTACTACATTTGAATCTGAATGGATCCTCAAACCAGATCCTCTGATCACAGCAGACACAAAACCAGAGAAAGTAGGTTAACATTAGAGATCGGGAGCTGAGAGTCTCCCGACACTTTAGACCCGGATCACATACTTAGATCAGGACATCCCAGGTGGCGTCTGTAGGTCAGTAAACACGTGTCACACACAGGTAGACACACACTGGACTCCCCCCCAGGCTCTCACACACTGGAACCCCCCCCCCCCCCCCCCGGGGCTCTCACCTGTGTCAAACACGAAGGTGTCAGAGAGGGCGCTGTTTCCGTTGTAACCACCGTGGATCATGAACTTGGTGTCTGAGAGCACGGCGCTGCCATGCCAACTGCAACACACACACACACACACACACACACACTTTTTAAAACGGCTTCAGGTAGATAATTAGACCTGGTTAGTGAGTGTAGTTTTGTGTAAGGGCACCTTCGAGCAGACGGAGCTTTTCCAGATGTTTGGACAACAGAGAACTCCATCAACCCTTAGAAAACCAAAAGCAGGGTGTGGTTTAATGACACGCGTCTCTGATCTCTGAGATCAGCCACGAGCGTTTTATCTGCTCACCGAGGTCCAACATGTACATGTCGTTGTAGCAGACGGGCGTGTCCCACCCCCCGAACACGTAGATGTACCTCTGCTGAATCACGCAGGCCGAGTGGCTGGAAGGGACAAACAACAGCAGCAGATGAAGACTTCAGCTTAAACTGCAGAGACAAGACTTGGAAGGAGCCGCGGTACCCTGATCGGGGAGACGGCTTGTCTCCCGTGACGATGGGCTGGTACCAGATGGAGATCTGAGGATCAAAGATGTACAAGGAGTCGCTGCAGCCGTCGGGCTCCGGGTTGGGGCGCGGAAACACCCCACCCAGAACAAACAGCTCCCCGCGGAACATGCTGCAGCTGTGGTAGGCCAGGGGGGGCACCTTTCCCTGAGCCTGGAGGACAGTGGGACATTCATAAGGGGACCAGATGGGGCGGGGACAGAAATGGGTCTACACACCTCCACCATGCTCCACCTCCAGCTCTGCGTGTCCAGGATGTGGACGTCGTTGAACCACTTCTTGTTCTTTGAGCCTCCAAAGACAAAGATGCGTTTGGAGTGGGGGTCGAATATGGCAGTGTGTCCGATCCGGGCTTCGGGGGTGGGACCCTCAGCCAGCGTCTCTGTAGCCACCCAGGACATGTCCTCTAATGGACGCAGGACAAAGTAAAACCTGATATAATACCTGGACGTTTCTAAAAGCAGCCTCTGGTCCACTGACCTGTGCAGAGCTTCCACATGGGATCTTTGCAGAACTGCATCCTGGCTCCCTGACCTCCAATTAAAATGGCCGTCTGAGAGTCAATGGGACATAAGGTTTGTCCCCAGCGTCCCGATGGGATGATCAGAGAAGCTGCAGGTGCAAAAAGTAACCAAACTTCTCATTCAAAATAAACCACGCCCATCTCATTTGGTGCTTTTGCCCACACAGATACTGGAACCAGTGAATAAATGTGTGGAAACTCACTGGTCTGAGTGGGAGTCTTGGTCTGCCGACTCTTCATCCTGGATGCAGTCTGGGGAGGAGCCGTCCCCTCCCCTCCTGCTTCATGACCTGTGAAACACGAGAGAGAAGCTGATCCTACAGCAACAGGATGAACGAAGCTCCTGGTCCAACTCCACAGCGTTCACGAAGAAGAAAACATCTTCCTCACCTGCTGCTTTCACCTCTGAGGAAACCGCTCCACTAGCAAACAGCTTCTGGCTGATTCTGCTTTGACCTCTGACCTTTCGTACAGGCGTGGGCTTCTCCTTACTGGCATTAGGACACACGTTCTCTTCTTGTCCCGCCTTGGTCACCTTATTTAGACCACCGTCCACCTCCTGATCTGCTGATCGCTCTCTCTTCCTCTTGCCGTGGAGCTCTCGGGCTGCGAGGGGCACCACAGAGTCCTGATGGACAACAGCGAGATAAAAAAAACTTGTGTTTGGACTCCAACATCTATATAAGAATATTTAAAACATGGCCTAAAATTAACAAAAACACAGAAAGGATGTAAGAAACATATTTCGTTTTTATTGAGAAAGGGGTGGGCTTCTTCCTGGTTCCTTCTTCCTGCTTGCTTTTCATTTATGTACAGTAAACAACGTGAGATTTTGTGATTTAATTATGTTGTTTGTGAGGATGAGACTCGATTAAAATGTATCTAATTAATCAGAGGCTTTGTAATTAATTAATCTTGATTAATCACATTTTAATCGCTCAAGACAATTTGACCCCAAGCAATTTTGTTTTATTAAAAATAACGTTAGTGAGGCACAGATGACGCGTCCACACTTTAATGAGTATATTCCTGTATAAACAAGCATTTGTTTTTATTACGAAGGTAACTATTGTGGGATTTATTGGGATGTGTATATATTAGTATGTGTTCTTGATGAAGTGTGAATGGAGATGGAGCATTGTAAATGTTGTGTACTAAAATGAACACTAGGTGGCAGCAGATTACCAATATATATATATATATATATATATATATATATATATAGATAGATAGAGAGAGAGAGAGAGAGAGAGAGAGAGAGAGAGAGAGAGAGAGAGAGAGAGAGAGAGAGAGAGAGAGAGAGAGAGAGGTGTAGTGCAGAGTTCTGGAGAAGTTCTACTGAGGGTTACAAGATGAATGCTTGTTCCTTCTTGTTTATTGGGTCTTTGGTAATGTAGGACCTCTGGAAACTGTATTTAAGGATTATTTGTCATTTTTAAGGATTTTTAAGGCCTTAAATTTGGAAAAGCTAATTTAAGACTTTTTAAGTCTTTTTAAGGACCTGCAAGTGAATCAGGCTGAAATGTTGTCGCACCAAACAGAACAGAACAACCGAAACCCATTTAGCACTAAAAATGGGAGGCATTCCCCGATGCTTCCACCTTCAAAGCAAACCTCAGGCTATGATGGATGGCTTTAGAAGTTATATAACTCCATTTAGGCATTATGTTTCACATATTTAATATTAATAAATGCATGCTAGCATGCTTGAATGAACACAACCCTAACACGTAAGCTTTTAAGAAAGCCTAATGGAGACATTTAGACGAGTTTAAAATGAAGTAAACACCCTGAAGACCGGGAAAACCAATGGCAGGGGATCTTCCAGGGAAGTAGTCAGCCCGATAACAGCATCCCTGCTGCTAACAAATGTTCTCCAAGGCACCAACGTATGCAACACATTCTCACACCCAAAGCGTCAAAATAGGACGCGTGTGACCAAGCGTCAATATATGACGATTCGGGATGCCCCAGCGCATCAGGAGATGACAATCGGGAACACACTGGGACACGTGGCTCCGCTGGCATCAGTATTTGACGCCCGCGGTCACACGGACATTATTCGACTATTTAACCTTCCCCCCACCCCAAATCCTAACGTTAAGGTCCATAAACTGTGACCTTAAGGTCAGGATTGGGGTGAGGGGAAGGTTAAGTAGTTCACAAGTCGTTCTAATGTCCGTCTCACCACCGGCGTCGGACACCGACGCTCTGGGACGGTGCGTCATCAGCGTGTCCCTGATCGTCGTCTCCAGACGCGCTGGGGCATCCCGAATCGTCATATATTGACGCTTGGTCACACGAGTTATATTTTGACGCTTTGGGTGTGAGAATGTGTTGGCGTATAATGCAAAATCAGTGTGGTCTTGTTTTTGTCTAAATGTAGGGTTTAAATTACGGGTAGGGATGTCCCGTTCCAATATATCGGAAGTAATTTGATATCGGCCGAAAAACACGGTATCGGATTATATAGGATGGCATCAAAAATCTCCGATGTAAGCATTCCGTTAAGGTTCACATTTTTGCAACCAATGGTTAAAAAAAAAAAGTTCATTTTTTTCATACTTACCGTTATTGACTCTTAATCTCCGATTGAGTAACATCACTTGATCAAGTCTTTCATACATTCCACACTACAACATAGTTAAAAGTATGTATGATTTGTGCTGATATCGTATCGTTAGCTCCCCCTAATTACAGGGGAGCTAAGGGGAGCCCGGCTCCCCTGAAAGGGTGACAGGTAGGGATGGGTACCTTTGACATTTGAATCGATACTGTGCCAGTTCCCGGTACCTACGAATCGATACCTGTACTTAACGGTACCAATTTTTGATGCTTTTGAGTGTTTAATAATTATTTAAATCACTTTTTTAATTACACATATATTATTTTTCCAATAAATAACCATATTTGATAAATATCATGATAATAACATACAACTGTTTGTATTTTTTCATCGTAGTGTTGTATAAAATTCTTCATTATGAAAACCTTTAACAACAACGGTTTCTAAATGATGCAAAAACTAAACCCAGCTCCATGTACTCCTAATCCTCTTCTAATCCCTCTGGACAAACTGTGTGATGGTGGTCCTTGTAGTTTTATAAACTACAAATTACACTGAAGCAAACATCTTTGCTGTGAACTAAATTTACTGTGCATCGTCATTCTTTATGCCGTTCATTTTCAAACTGTTTATTTTTCCTACTCGGAAGTTGGAATTTCCGAGGAGAAAGTGAACGCACCATTAGCGATGTAAACAAAAACTAAACAATCAAGCTAACGTTAACGTAAACAGTTTATTTAGCGGCTGGAGCAGATTCAGATGCCTCCTCCTCAGATCTTTATCGCTGCTTTCATCATCACCCAACAGCCCATCGCATTTAGTGAAGAGGGCCCAAACTTCAGAGCGCTTCCTCTCTTTGTTTACAGCTCGCCCACAGTGACTGACGACGTTACGCTCTTGCGCGTGGCACAAGTACCGAAACGAGGCACCGTTTCATATGACATGAATCGGTACTCAGTCGGTACTATAGAATTCGGTCGGTGCCTTAAAAAGTACCGAATTCGGTACCCATCTCTAGACAGGCTCCCCAGGAAGCTCTTACTGTACACACCTGGTCTGGGGAAGTCTGATAAAACATCCTGTTTCTACCTCTACGACATTATTTATATCAGAGCTCCTCAAACACAAGTCTCAAAGAGCCACATTCAAATGTTTTAATTTCTATCTGTGAATCAACGTGGTTTAATAAAATTTGCTTAAACACAACTCGCCTCCTTCAGTCAAAACAGCAACAAGCAATTTCCATTTAGAACTAGATTCAAATGAATACTTAAAGGGGCATTATGGAAGTTTGACGGCCAAAACATGTATAGAAATAATAAATGTCTTCTTCATACGTTCTCCTGCAATGCCCTGGTCCTGTAGAATGAGCCCTGGCATTTTTACTGTGATTGCCTGTTTTTCTGTAAAATCACAGAAAAAGAGAGATGCTCGGGTCGAGCAGGCTGCTTCATGCGCGTTCACGCTCAGGCATCGCCCGTAGCATTTGCTATCCGTAGCTTTAGCAGCAGAGAGAGAGGCAGTGCCACTTTGTCGCTGTTCCTAACGCCTAGTGACAAAGCTAGCTACATTTCTGAGGACCCTTAGCTACTTTCTGTAGAACTTTCTTCTAGATATTTCCTGCAAATTAGCAACAAAATAGCCATTTTCACTCAGAACCGTTCTTTGGTTTGACGTTTCAGCTGTCATCAAGGATATAAATGTTACAGATACAAAAGACGTCATTGGCGCTTTAGCTCACCTAGTAAGACGTCGGACTGCCATGCAGAAGACCTGGGTTCGAATCTGGATGTGAACATAGTTTATTTAGAGTTTCTTTTTTACATTAATGGTATATTTTTTTACAGTAAGATGCCCAAATTTTTATTTGAGACTCGCCGAACGGCATTGAATTCACAGATAAAAAAGATGTGGGTTCAACTTTCATTTTGGAACAATTTTTCAAGCAAGGGAAGGGAATGATCTGAGCATGCAGGAGGACTGACCCATCATAAACCTTTGTCGGCTGTGCTGAAGAGAAAGCTACAGAACCACATTATTTAATTAATTAGCGCATTCTCCTATCCTCTGGGCCACACACACACACACACACACACACACACACACACACACACACACACACACACACACACACACAGGACTGTCTCAGCTGTTATTTTCGTTAAGGAGTGTGCACGTACAGCATGCGCGCCTCGTGCACGAACCTACTATTGAAGCTGCCGTTACGCTTTTGGCCTGAGGGGGCGATCGTGAGCATAAACAATCAAAACTCCTTAAAGTCCCTTTAAGTAAAACTAATGATAAAACCCTTGTAATAAATTCACCCAGAGCTAAGGAAATGCCTTCTGCGTTTATTATTCCATCCCAAAGAGTCAGACCAGCCAGTATTGAGTCTGAGAGAGAGATTTGCTTAGGCTGTCATTTCCTCTTTTTGATTGCCTTCGAACGTGCTTTCCATCTCCAATTCAGCCGTTTCATCATCTCTGCATCACAGAAAGGCTTCTTGAGTTTCCCCAAAATCCACAAAACTCAGAGGGAGCGTTCCGCTGCTGTGTTGAGTCACAAATGCAGGGAATTAGCCAGAAAGCGGGAGGATGAGTGGCCGTCCCTGCTCGTAGCAGTTAAAGTAAAAAAAAAAAAAAAAGGAAGCTTTGCATCACTTATCGATGCATGTTGATGCAGACAAAAACAATCCTGACCTGATCAGTTTCTATGATGGTAATTAAGAGGAACACCAAGAGGTGGAACTAATGAGGAAGTGCAACACCCGGGCTGATTACAAAGGGTAATAACAAGAAATAGCGCACCCTACAGTTAACAAACAGGAAGTAGGTTAATTCTGAGTCATTAAATACATCCCTACCCCCACCACTCATGCACATTTAGATACATCGATTAATTAAATGAGAGATTCCTAATCACGTTGCCTTTGGTGTGTATTCCTTCACAGCCAGGATCGGCTCCGGCTCTGACTTTGAGTGAAAGGAAGAAAAACGATCTTTTATATAGATAAAAATGTTACATGAGAATCCAGGGTGAGGGCCGGGTCAAAGGTCACACCAAGAGCAGCAAGCTGACCGAGAGAGCCTCTGACTTTGGGAACCAGCTTGTGTGGGGCACAGATAAATATCTCTCCATCTAAAATAATCAGTTGCATTCAACCAGTGATGAAGTTTAGAGCAGAGCACCCATAAAGAGTGTTAGTGTGTTCCCGTTACCGTGTTTCCTCCCTCCAGAGTGAGATTCAGTGTGACACAGTCTGTCCATGTCTCCTCTTCCCACTGCTCCCAGGACAGGCATCTGGAGGTCAGATTAAAAGGCGTTTTATCCGTTTATGTAAACATTCCCATCCAAATGACTCCTGCAACAACAAAATAAACCACTGCTGCTCCACGGGGGGGTGGATCGAGGCCACGTGCCTGTCCAGCATGAGGCTACCTGTTATAAGGAGTGAGTTTTCCTATAGTGATGGGGAACCGATCAGCATCACTGAGCTCCGCGTTCACGCAGATCCTCTCCCCCCACGGTCCGCAGCTGAACACCACCACCTGCTGGACGGATGGAGGAACTGCAACAGAAACTCTGCACGACCCGTCCGCACTGACATGAAAAAGGACACACACACACACACACACACACACACACACACACACACACACACACACACACACACACACACACACACACACACACACACAAATGAATCAACTGAGTATTTTACCAGAATGTTTCATTGTACACTGTTCCTAAATGGGGTAAATGCATGAGAAACAGTAACAGACACTAATGTTACGATAACCGTATGTTTCCTACCTCAGCAGCCTTTGAGGCGGACCGTTTACTCCAAAAACTGCATAAACTCCAAACTCTTCCATTCTTAAAGCTTTCTTTTTATGTTTTTTCTAATTAGTTGTAATTTAAACACAACTAATAACATAAAACAGCTTCTCCCGCCACCAATAGGTGTACGGTTTCTAAACGACGCGCGAATTCTGGGTAAGACATTATAGGCGCGCGTTTTAATAATTGGCGTCTCCCATGAAATTTGCAAGTAGGGTTAAAGTGAATGCCCCGCCCATGCTGCACATTGTTCTTTGCAAATCAAGCGCTCTCCAGACTTCACTGACAGACGTAAAAGCTACATTCAAAGACTGTATGAAATGTTAAGATTTTGACTCGGCGAATGACATTTTAATTAAGTCCGTTTTGATGACCCAGAAATACGGAAGAATATCTGAAAATTATTAATGAATTAAATGTATTTTAATATGTATTTATAGCAAAAAAATTACAGGCAACTTTACTTCGGAGGAAGAGTTAAACGGGAATCCGAGTCGTCGTGTGCTCTTGAATGCACTCCATCGAAAAGCATTATGGGTTGGGAAACCGGTGGAATAGCTTCTCGAAAGAACTGCGAAGATGATGGTGAGTGTGCTTTAGCTTTGTAGCCGCGGAATCATCTTATAATCCGTGCCCATCCTTTAGTTTATCAGACACGATGAACATCAGGAATGTTTTATCTGATAATGCACACTGTTAGCCGTGTTTAAAAGGTGTTATTGCGTAGAAATAATCTGAAAGAAGCTGTTATTGTTAGCCATTCACTGCTAGCATTTTTGTAATCAATGGGCGTTTATGACGGATGCTAAGGGCGATGTCAGGTTTATAGTTTAACGTATAATTAGACAAAGATAGTTGCATATTTTTAAAGTGCTACGCATTTATTTGAGTATAAATGGACGCATTACGCATTTATTTGAGTATAAATGGACGCATATTAGTTCATGTTAGCTTACCAACATATGAATGAACCAAAGCCATCTCTTGTTAAGATGTAGCTGCTCATTTTGGTCGTTTTAATTAAATCAACAGTGACATCTGTTGTCCAGGTTTTGCTGCATGCTTGATGGTATTAAACCATCACGTTAGCTTAAGCGGCATCCGTTTGTTCCCTTATTTGGTTAAATGCTGGTTATTGTGGATTTGATGTCTCTCTGGTGTTGACATGAAATTATATCTGATATTGAATTTTTATTTATGCTCTGATGTGACTGCAAACATGATCAGCACCACTAAAAAGAAACCCGCCAAATTAAACCCTCACAGATGAAATTTAATCTTTATACCTGAACGTAAACAAGACTCACTTTTTATAAGATAGATCTGTCCAGGCAGCACCAGGACGCGAGTGATCATGGAGATGGATGCCTTTCTAGTTGATCTGGTTTAATGTTTTTGGCTTCGTCCCGCAGCCCACACCGGTTATCCTGCTGAAGGAGGGGACAGACACGTCTCAGGGCATTCCCCAGCTCATCAGCAACATCAATGCCTGTCAGGTCAGAGGAAGTTGCTCTTCTCTTTCCACATTTGGGTGAACTGAGGTTTTGTTGCGGTCTCTTCTCCCTCAAAACTAAAGTCATCTGTACTGTAGATGTCTCTGACCCTGAACTATGCTTCAGTCTCTAAATGTAGGGTTCTGTTTTCTGCTGCAGGTGATCGCTGAGGCTGTCCGGACCACTCTGGGGCCCAGGGGCATGGATAAACTCATGGTGGACAGCAGAGGTGTGAAGACGTCAAATAAAAATGAGAAACATGTTTAGATTTCAGCGTTTTAGTCGACCGAGCTGATTAATGTTTGTATTTTTTTTAGGTAAGGCAACAATTTCCAACGACGGCGCCACCATCCTGAAGCTCCTGGATGTGGTTCATCCTGCAGCCAAGACGCTGGTGGACATCGCTCGCTCCCAGGATGCTGAGGTGAGATTTGTGTTCGTCAGCGATGTCTAAATTCTCATCGTCTCGGACTGACTCGTGTTTTTTCCTCGCAGGTTGGGGACGGCACCACGTCCGTCACTCTCCTGTCCGCCGAGTTCCTGAAGCAGCTGAAGCCGTACGTGGAGGAGGGTCTCCACCCTCAGACCATCATCAGAGCTTTCCGCACCGCCACCAACCTCGCCGTCAGCAAGATCAAGGAAATCGCCGTCTCCGTGAAGAAAGATGACAAGCAGTGAGTGCTGTCCTCTGGTGGCGAGGTGTCCGTCCATGGTATGAGGTTCGATCCTAAATGTCACGTTTCTTCTCAGAGAGCAGAGGCAGCTGTTGGAGAAATGCGCCGCCACCGCCCTGAACTCCAAGCTGATCGCCGGTCAGAAGGGGTTCTTCTCCAGAATGGTGGTGGATGCCGTCATGTCTCTGGACGAGCTGATGTCTCTGAAGATGATCGGCATCAAGAAGGTCCAGGGAGGAGGCCTGGAGGTTGGTGTTTGCTGTTCAGTTTCACGTGAAAGTCAGGAGGAGGAGTTTACTCATGAGTGGACCAGATCACCTGTGGACAGGTGTAGACGTCCCAACCTTCACCCAAACGTTCCACAGCTATGAAGCTAAAGGAAGCAGGCTTTATTTTCTTCAGAAGAGCATCTGATCTTCACCTGTCTGTCTCCGTTAAATGTTTGCACCATCGCGTTCCAGTCACCACTGGGTTTTTATTAATGGGAAGGTGAAGACGGCTGTGTCTGAGATTGAGGAGGAGCAATGTGGTTTTGGTTCTGGCCGTGGAACTGTGGACCAGCTCGATACCCTTGCAAGGGTGATGGAGGGGGCATGGGAGTTTGCCCAACCAATCCACATGTGTTTAGTGGATTTGGAGAAGGCTTATGACCGTGTCCCCAGGAGCACCCTGTGGGGGACGCTCCAGGAGTATGGGGTGGGTGGCCTTTTGTTGAGGGCCATTCAGTCCCTTTACCAGAGGAGCGTGAGTTCGGTCCGCATAGCCGGTAGTAAGTCGGACCTGTTCCCGGTGAGGGTTGGACTCCACCAGGGCTGCCCTTTGTCACCGGTTCTGTTCATTACCTTTATGGACAGAATTTCTAGGCGCAGCCGTGGTGTGGAGTGTGTCGAGTTTGGTGGCAGGAGAATATTGTCTCTGCTTTTTGCGGATGATGTGGTCCTCCTAGCTTCATCCACCTCTGACCTTCAGCTCTTGCTGGGTAGGTTCGCGGCCAAATGTGAAGCGGCTGGGATGAGGATCAGCACCTCCAAATCTGAGACCACGGTTTTCGACCGTAAAAGGGTGGCTTGCCAACTCCGGGTCGGGGGAGAGGTCCTACCTCAAGTGGAGGAGTTTAAGTATCTCGGGGTCTTGTTCACGAGTGAGGGTAGGAGGGATCGGGAGATCGACAGGCGGATTGGTTCGGCGTCTGCAGTGATGCGGACGCTGAGCCCATCTGTCGTGGGGAAGAGGGAGCTGAGCCAGAAAGCCAGGCTCTCGATTTACCGGTCGATCTACGTCCCAATCCTCACCTATGGTCATGAGCTTTGGGTAATGACCGAAAGAACGAGATCGCGGATACAAGCGGCCGAAATGAGTTTCCTCCGTAGGGTGGCCGGGCTCAGCCTTAGAGATAGGGTGAGGAGCTCGGACATTCGGGAGGGACTCGGAGTAGAACCGCTGCTCCTCCGGATCGAAAGGAGTCATTTGAGGTGGTTTGGGCATCTGGTCAGGATGCCTCCTGGACGCCTCCCTGGGGAGGTGTTTCGGGCATGTCCTGCCGGCAGGAGGTCCCCGAGTCGACCCAGGACACGTTGGAGAGGTTACATCTCCAATCTGGTCCGGGAACGCCTTGGGGTCCTGCCGGAGGAGCTGGTGGAGGTGGCCGGGGAGAGGACGGTCTGGAGCTCCCTAGTTGGGATGCTGCCCCCGCGACCCGGACCCGGATAAGCGGAGGAAGACGACGACGGCTGTGTCCACTTCTGGGCTTTGAGTAAATAATGAAGGATGTTTTTACGGTGAAGCGTTCTGGTCGCTAAAGTTTGGATTCTTTAGTTTTATTTTTTCCATTTGTTCATCCTGGATGAAATTCCCTGCCCCAGGATTCCCAGCTGGTCACTGGCGTAGCCTTCAAGAAGACCTTCTCCTACGCCGGGTTCGAGATGCAGCCCAAACGCTACGAAAACCCAAAGATTGCTCTGCTGAACGTGGAGCTGGAGCTGAAGGCTGAGAAGGACAACGCCGAAGTCCGGGTCAAATCAGTGGAGGTATGACATCACAACAGGAAGCTCCTCTGTCTGTTTCCTGTGAGCCGATGCCTCCACCACTTCCTCTGCAGGATTACCAGGCCATCGTGGACGCGGAGTGGAACATCCTCTACGACAAGCTGGAGAAGATCTACAAGTCAGGAGCCAAGGTGGTTTTATCCAAGCTGCCCATCGGCGACGTGGCCACGCAGTACTTCGCTGACAGAGACCTGTTCTGTGCTGGTAGGGTGCAGGAGGAGGACCTGAAGAGGACCATGATGGTACAGCTAGAGCAGAGCTACGGGCTGTTTGTAGTGGAGAACGGAAGTGTTAACTGCTTGTGTGTGGTGTGACCTTCAGGCCTGTGGAGGCTCCATCCAGACGTCTGTAGGAGCCATGACAGACGACGTGCTGGGACAGTGTGAGCTGTTTGAGGAGGTGCAGGTGGGAGGAGAGAGGTGAGCCACGTCTGATCTTCTGTCCCAGCCTCATGTCCGTCTTTTCCTCCGAGCTACAGCTCGGTACAAGTCAGCGTTGATCGTGAAGGCATCATTTAGGGGTTGTGTTCCCCTGCAGGTACAACTTCTTCAAGGGCTGCCCCAAGGCCCAGACGTGCACCATCATCCTGAGGGGAGGAGCCGAGCAGTTCACAGAGGAGACGGAGCGGTCGCTGCACGACGCCATCATGATCGTCCGCAGAGCCATCAAGGTCAGTTAATGTTTCACGCGTTCATACGGCTCTGAAGACTCGGAGCGAGGCCGAAGAGCTGCTCGAGCTGTCAGGAGCTCCTTCGTGTGAATCTTACCTGCAGGGTCCTGTGTGGAGGATCGTGGAATAAATGTGGCAGGAGTTGGAATTTTTCTAGAAATGATCAAAATGAAAGCGTGTGATTGGCTGCTGCAGCCTCTCCTGTGTGTGAAGAGGCAGGTGGGTAACCGTCGGCCGAGACGAGGGGTTCAGACTAGTCACGGTGTGTGAATGTAACCTCACGGTTATTGTGACCAAAATTATCCCGGTATTTTTTTTTAAACACGTTACATTTTCAGACAACTACATAAACCCTGTATATCAGGAAATATTGTCCTCAGTTTGTGTCTAAATTTTGCCTAAAATGTGTTATTTTGTAATTATGTTGTTTATTTGTTTACATTTTTCCCCTTTAGTCTTTAAAATACCAATATTTGTCCATAACTTCTTATTTTTTGTCTGTTTGATGTAGGGCTGCAACAAATGATTATTTGGATAATCGATGAATCGGATGGGGTCTCGACACGATTAATCGATTAATCGGATTACATAGGGACATTTTTAAAAACTGCTAGGGAAACGTTATTTCTCTCCTTCCTTCACTTTATTAAACACAACATTATTAGAAAACAGTTCAATAGCAGAAAAACAACATGCCATCACCTAAATTGTCTTATAAGGTCAGAGACCCTAAGCTACACCTATCTGTGACCTAAAATGCTTGGTCCAAGTTAAACAGCTTAAAGAGCAAGTCAACCCCTACCAGAGTCTAACTCCACTCCCACTTCATGTTTGAAAAATGCAACAAATGCTGTTACCTGGCAGACCAAGAGGGCGGAGCCGCTAACAAATACACACACACTCAGGCTCACGACAGCATTGTGACATCATAATGTACCAGTTTACATCATAGCATACTTCTTAGCCAACGAATCGATGACGCAATTCGTTGCCAACGCTTTTAGTAATCGATTTTCATTGAATTTATCGATTCGTTGTTGCAGCCCTAGTTTGATGTCATCATTTTAAAAGTATTAGATCAGATGATACTCAGTACTCAAGTAGCCTTCTAATCAGATACTTTTTTACCCTTACTTGAGTAATAAACCCTATATCAGGAAAATATTGTCCTCGGTTTGTGTCCTTCCAGTGAGCTTTGCAGATGTGGGAAATGTCATCAGGCAGTAATCGTTGTTAAATTCATAATTATTCTCGGAGAGAGACCAACTCTTATCTGCCCCTGGGAGCCCCGTAATGCATAGCGTCATTTCAACATGGCGGTGTCCGCGACACGGTTTATATGCAGGTAGCGGCGCTGCGGCTGCTTTATATAGCGACTCGTTGCATTCTCCCTCAACCCAAATCCTCGGATCACGCATTTTAGCTAAAACGCTAACGTTAGCTTGCCTTGCGTTGACTGTAGAGTTGTGGGTGATGGTCACGCAGATGTGTCATGAGATTTGAAGCGTTGCTGCCTTTCACAGACACTTTTTCTGCACGTGCTGCAAACAGGATAGCCGTCTTCTATCAACTGTCCCTCGGCATTCTTCAAATATCCAAAAGATGCCCGTACTTCCCACTTTGTCTTCTTTGAGGGATAATAAATGTCCTGAGCGCTGCCGTCTCCTCCTTTGGTCATTATTTCAGCTTTAGCTTCAAGAAAGTTTTGGTTGTAAACAACAAAGTGCGCATGTGCCGCCGGCAACTTCAGCAGATGATACGGTGGCTGGTAAGGGTCACCGCGCCTACACCGCAGCCACGGTAATCCACCGAGATAATATATGTTTTTAAAAACAAGACGGTTATTATTATTGTCAACTTTTTTACCGGGGTTTACCGCTACACCGGTTACCGTGACAACCCTAGTTCAGACCAGCGTGATCTGAGTGGGAGCCCCAACAGGAAACTCATCCAGACGACATTTACTTCAGTTTTGAACTGAAAATCTATTCATAACATTTTAGACCGTTTTTATGGAACTGTGGTGTAATTAGTGAGAAAGTGTGGTCAGACGTGTTTCCCAGCTAAACATTAACCACAATAATCAAGCAGCTCTGGTCTCAAATAGAGAATCTTCATCGTGTTTAACAACCTCTAGTCCCGAGCGGGTTTCTGTTGGACCCGGTCCCACGGTTTCCTGACTTGCTGGCGCCTCTTTTGCAGAATGACTCCGTCGTGGCGGGCGGAGGAGCCATAGAGATGGAGCTGTCCAAGTACCTGAGGGATTACTCGAGGACCATCCCCGGGAAGCAGCAGCTGCTGATAGGAGCGTACGCCAAGGCCCTGGAGATCATCCCCCGACAGCTGTGTGACAACGCCGGCTTTGACGCCACCAACATCCTCAACAAGCTGCGCGCTAAACACGCACAGGTGGGACGGAAGAAGCCCCGGTCACGTTGATCACAACCCCACGGCGGTGCTGGTTTTGTTTAAATGACGGTTTTTCTGCTTCGTCTGTCATCACAGGGTGGTACTTGGTACGGTGTGGACATCAACAGCGAGGACATCGCCGATAACTTCGTCGCCTGCGTCTGGGAACCGTCCATCGTGAAGATCAACGCCCTGACGGCGGCGTCGGAGGCGGCGTGCCTCATCCTGTCTGTGGACGAGACGATTAAGAACCCCCGCAGCAGCATGGACGGGCCTCCGGGAGGCGCCGGCAGGGGGCGGGGCCGCGGGAGACCACACGCCCACTAACGCAACATAAACCAAACCCGGTTCTAGTCAGATCCAGAAACGGAAAGCTGCAGGTTAAGAGTTAATCTGGATTAAATGAGAGAAGTTCATGAATCAGTCCAGACTGTTTCCTTTTTCTGTTTTTCACTCGTAGCTTTGTCTCCGTAAGCATTTCACACGTTCATCCTCTGTGGTCACGGAGATGTTCTGAAGAACAACGGCCAGGAGAGCTGGTCAGTCACTGTAATCTGGCAGGTTTACTGACGGGATTAGGAGCAGTCCCGAACCTCTCACCGGTGAACGGCTGCAAATCTATTTATTGGACCATTCTTATCAATAAACTCACGGCTGAAATCCTTCAGGAGGTGGTGTGTTCCTGTCCCGAGTCAAAGACGAGGCTCTTTCTTTTATTTAATAACAGGAAGTACGTTACATGTGAAACAAGATGCACGGGGGTGTTGAGTTAATCCTGACCAGAGGTGATGAGGCGCAGAGCATCCCTAGAATGTTTAATGAGCTGCACTAAAACACGTAATAGCACCTTTGATGTCTGCAGTGTGATGAGGGTGCAGAGCTGCACCTGGTTTCTCTCGTGGAGCTGCAGCATCTTGGCAGGTAAAGAAGCCCCTCCCCCAAACAAGCTTTTGTTTTATTTTTAATTATTGCCAACAAGAAAAGTCAGTTTAGCACTGATTAACCTTTGGTGAGCATGGGGGGGTCCTAGGGCTTTAATTTTACATAAATCTTTCTTTTGCGTCACCAACAGTAATCCCAGTGACGTCATGTCCCAATCCTTTGTAATCCAGGACCCTCTCAACGAGTTTTAGATGTAGTCCTTTCACCGCTAGATGGCGCACCACCGTCGCAGAAACGGGTTCCGTGGCAGGATCTAATGTGAGGAAAAGGTCTTTGAGTAGAGTCTCTAGGTAGTTTGTTCTGTGAGGTCTTTCGGTCATAAGAGGTTCGTTTCAGCCTCCATCTGGTGATAACTTCTCGTGTAAAGCAGAAGACTTTCTTCCAGGGTATCCGCGGGTCCTTAAAAAGCACCAGTTCCAGGAAATAGCTAGAAATAATAGCTTGAAAGAAATAAAAAAAAATGCTTAAATTTGGTCAAAGTGGCCTTAAAAAGTCTTAAATTAGCTTTTCCAAATTTAAGGCCTTAAAAATGACAAATAATCCTTAAATACAGTTTCCAAAGGTCTTAAATTACCAAAGACCCAATAAACAAGATATTTTTATTTCTATAAAATTTTCGTGAATTTCTACTTAGTGTTCAGCATTTTATGTGTATCATAGTTGCATAAACGGAACCGTACACATTCAGTTGGTTGTGAAAGGGGGCTATTTATAGATGAGCACGTTAGCTGGTTAAGCTAGTGGGAGCGTGCGCCATGGGGAAGTGCAAGTTTAATGGTAACTGGATGGCTAATCCCACGTTCGCGACGTGGTTAGCACCGGTTCCAGGCAATAGCTGGAAATTATAGCTTGAAAGAAATAAAAAAAATAGCTTAAATTTGGTCAAAGTGGCCTTAAAAAGGTCTTTAAAAGTCTTAAATTTGGCTCCCTTAAACATGCAGATACCCTGTGAAGGTCTCAAATGGAAGTTTCAGAAAATGTTCTTCAGCCTCCTCTATTCCTGTTCAGTTGGACAGGAAGTCTATGGAAGCCCTTACGGAGCGGTTAGACGTGACATCCACGGCTGTGACTTTGATTTCTGTATCTCCAAACTGCATGGTGGCCCTGATCTCTCGTCTCTCTGCTCCCCCTCCACCTGCTGCTCCAGGGGTCGGCGACGGTCCTGGTAAGTCCAGCGTCATCGTCCCGCACTTCCTGACGCCAGGGTCGGAGATGTACGTGATGTCGTCCGTTGAGCTGCAGTAGATGTTGATGATGATCTTCCGCTGGCCGACCCTGGCGGGCGTGTAACTCCTCCTTACAACTTCTCCCAGAGCGACCGACTGGTCCACGGAGACGAAGCGGTCAAAGATGTCCGTGCACCACTCACGGCCATCTTTGAGGAGGAGTTTATCCCGAGGGTGGCGTCCTTCGACGAACCGGTTCAGGACACCAACCCCATAGGTCAAAGGGCATCTCCTCACTCTGACCTGAGACAGAGAGAGGCTGTTAGATCACGTAGCACAGCGTTACTCTGACACCAGCTGATGTTCCTGCCCCCTCACCACAGTGGGATCCAGCCCAAAGAGCACTGCGCCCTTCAGTATGGTCAGGCCAACATCGTGAGGGATGATGATGCGACACGTCCTTCCCAAAGCCTTCTGGATCGCTTTCTGCAGCATGGGCGACTCAGCAAAACCCCCGACCAGGAATAGGAAGCGCACACCGCTGACCTCGGGCTTCGCCATCAGCTCATCTGTCGGAAAAGAAGAATTTCACTGATTTGGTTTCTAACTTCTTTCCATCAGCTGCTCTTGGTAGTCCCTCAGTCCATAAATCAAGTGAGAACTTGGGGGGCCTCTCGAGCCGGAAAATCAGTCCCTTGGCCTTAAACGTGCCACTGGAATGTGGCTGATTTAAACCAGACATTCTCAGCCTGAGTTTTACACGGAGAAGAATCAGAACATCGTCGTCTAGAGTAAAATCATAAAACCTACGCCTGGTATTCTTTTGTGCAAGTTTGGCCTTGTTCACAAGCACGTTTTTGACCATTGTTGTTTGACAACTGTTATTTTTAGTGGACATAATAAAAAGTATGTGGTTCATCTAATGTTGGTAGTCAAAAACAAACGTCTCAGAAACTTGAATCAAATGGCACTTTATGCTTTCTGGGAAATTACTCAGAGCTAAATCTACACCATCAAATTCAGTACAGTGGCGTGTCCAGATCTTTTAAAATGGGGTGGCCCAGGTGAGGCACAACTTTGTGCATGGGTGGCACCAACGGTTATGCTTTTTTTGTTTTACCCCCAAGCCTTTTGTGGACAATTTAAAGGTATTGTAGTGTGGTGGCACCTGGGGTGGCCAATCAGATTCCAAGGGTGGCATGTGCTACCCCAGGCCACTCCCTGGACACGCCCCTGATTCAGTAGTTTCCAAACATCAATGTGTTATTTAAAAAAATTCATATTCATCCAACCAGGAAGTCCCACTGAGATAAGAAGTGTCATTTACGAGGTAGACCTGGCCGAGGTGCTATCCATGCACAAAACGTATACAAGACACACGAAAATCATTTGGGCACGAATGGTTGGAGACTAAGTGTTTTGACAACTATCCCAGTTACCATGGATAATGGTATTAAGATCCTGCAGGACCAACATGGAGTTATGCAGATGGTTACATAATTCTATACCAGTGTTGTCCAGTGGATAACTGTCCAGCCCACTAAATCATTAGGAATGCAGTGGTGTATGAAGGATTTAGCCTTTGAGAAGTCAGGTCTGTTGTTGTCATCAAAGGTACAACTTCAGCCGTGAGAGACGGAATGTAAAACAATCCAGGAATGCACATTATTAGCATCCCTCACCGACCTGTTGCTTCTATCCTACACTCACTGCTTGTATTAATGACACCTGTTTGACCTCTCCAACATGGCCAAGACCAAAGAGATGTCTAAAGACGAGACTGTACATCTGCACAAGACTGGGATGAGCCAATCTACAATGAGCTTGGTGAGAAGAGATCAGCAGTTGGAGCCAGGGCAGGACTGGGTGGAAAATTTGGCCCTTGCCAGGGGCGTGTCCAGGGAGTGGCCTGGGGTAGCACATGCCACCCTTGGAATCTGATTGGCCACCCCAGGTGCCACCACACTAATTTACCATTAAATCGGCTTTTCATTGTCCACAAAAGGCTTGGGGGTAAAACAAAAAAAGCATAACCATTGGTGCCACCCATGCACAAAATTGTGCCTCACCTGGGCCACCCCATTTTAAAAGATCTGGACACGCCACTGGCCCTGGCATTTGTCCGGTCGGGGGGGGGGGGGGGGGGGGGGGGGGGGGCTTGTGGCAAGGTGGAGAAATGAGGGCCCAGGCGGGATTCGATTCCCAAACTCCCGGGAGAGAGTCACGCGCGCTAACCAGTGTGTGTGAGGTACTGACCAGACTGGCCCAAACTGGGTAAACGGCCCACCGGGCAATGCCCGGTACGCACGGGTTGGACTGGGACGATAATTCAGCCCTGGTATTTTTATGAACTGTCGACCCTGTGGGTGGGTGGGGTGGGTTGCTGCATGCAAAGTTGTCTCTGTTCCACCGAATGTGAGAGCGTGGGGGGATTTGCGTCGGCTCAAGCTGGACAAGCGGCCCCCGGGACAGTGCTAGAATGTAAGATAGGCCACACCCCTGCCGGTATGCCAGATCACCACTGGTTGGAGCGATGTAATGTGGTCGGATGAAACCAAAATAGAGCTCTATGGTATAACCACCGTTCGCTGTGTTTGGAGGGGGAAGAATGTTGAGTTACCTTCCATGAACACTATACAATTATGATGTATGGGGGTGGAAACATCATGCTTTGGAACTGCTTTTCAGCAAAGGGGACAGGCGAGTGATCTGTTTTAAGGAAAGGATGAATGTGGCCATGTGTCATGGGTTTTTGGGCATAAACCCCCTTCCATCTGTGAGAGCGTTAAAGATGGAACATGGCTGGCTCTTCTAGCATGACGACGACTCCAAACTCACTGCCTGGGCAACAAAGGAGTGGCTACATAAAAAAGCATTTCAGTGTTCTGGAGTGGCCTAGCCAGCCTCCAGATCTCAGTCTGATTAAGAATCTGTAGAAGGAGATGACCGTTGGTGTTGACCAGCGACAACCCCCAGGACATCACAGCTCTGAGATGATCTACACGGACGAATGGGCCAAAATACCAGCTAAGTACAGTTAACGAGTCATGTTTGTATGTGTGTAAATGGTCGTTAGTGTCTCTCACCGATGTGCTTGACTATATTGCAGATGGTGGGCTGGAACAGCTCGTTCATTGCTTCCTGTGTCAGCCGCAGCATTCCCTGGGATGACCACTTCACTATCTTCATACTGACAGACAGAAAACAGGAAGCAAGCTCCCAACGTGACTTCAACAGAAGCAAAAATCTGCCCTGGGCGTACGCCGACACCTTTCACCCCCACTCACTTGCTCCTCCTCAGGGCAGCCTCCACGCTCTGCCCTCTGTGTCTCTTGTAGTAGTCGATGAAAGAGAAGGGCAGGGAGATGTTGAGGGCGTTGGCCCGGCCTGGCCACGCTGTCCGTTTCCTGGCTTCGAATGCAATCATGAGGTCCACCCAGGCCGCCGGTCGCTTCACTTTGAAGCTCTGAATGAAGTCCTCGCCAAAGATCTGGCACAACATGGCTTCAAAAGCCAGGTCTACCCCAACGGCGCCGTGGGGGCCACCTAGAAGACAGACTCCTGCTTAGGAACCTCTTGGAACTTCTCTGCACGGATGGTAAGATACCGTACCTGAAACCTTGTAGAGTTCTTTCAGCGTTCCCTGTGGCTGCTCAATCTGATGAACCGTCAAGTCAACTGTCCCTCCTCCACAGTCGGCAACAACGTACCTGTCACCTGCCGAAGGAAAGCACAAACCCTCACAAGCCTGTGCTGGTCCATGTTTCAGGGTGATGCTGGAGACACGAATGCTGCACATCATCCCTGCATTGGGTCTGAATTCTAACATTTTGAGACTTTATGATCTTAAAAGTAGTCCTGATTACTCTTTAGTGTGTGCAGCACATGTGTGTGTGTGTGTGTGTGTGTGTGTGTTGGATTTAACCAAGTCATGACAAATGTGAGAAAGTGAGAGGAATAAATTTGGATAGATGTTCATAAAAATGATCTAATGCACGCGAGGGAGAGAAAATATGGTTTTCAATCATTGTGATTTAATGCACGGAGGAGGATAGTCCCTTTGGTCGGGTCCTTCCTGTGTGTGTGTGTGTGTGTGTGTGTGTGGACAGGAAAAGAAGCAGACAGCCCAACAGCTGCATGTGAAACGAGCAGAGTGGGAAGTTTTTCTTTTAGCAGGCCACGGTCTGGGGTGTCCCGGTCGGCCCGACTCAACCAAAACCAAACCCTGACGGTGCCTGTGCTGCATGTCAAAGCTGGATGTGTCTGCACAGCTCAGTCAGCAGGTCAAAGGTCAAAACCATCAACATCCCGGGCCCACTTACCGGTCTGCAGTTCCGACCACAACTCTCCAGTCCCGCTCTCCACCAAAAAGGTTCTGCTGTGTCTGGATCGCCTCAGCTGCTCCCGAGCTGCAACAAACACCAACCAAACACGCCTGGTTTCTCGATCTCTGCATTCAGTTTCTCTGTGTAAGGTGTGAGTGAGTCGCTAACACAGAGACTAACTAACGTCTCTAAACTAAAATGCGTTATTCTGCCGTTTATAAACTCCCCAAAACTGCTTAGATAGAAGCTTCTGCGTCTCCATTTGTGCTGCATCCTCATCAGCAGCTTCAACTGATCTAAAAACATCTCATCCTGATCACTGAGAAAGGCTTCAATGTCGCCCAACTCATGGTGACAAATAAAGGAGTTGCTGCTGTTTTGGTCAAAACTTGAAAAATAAAAAAACATTAAAGATGCATCCAGAGTGTTCCCCTTTTCAGGAATTATCTAGAAGTCTAGACAACCGTAGCAGTAGCTAAAGGTTTTGCTCTGTGGGTTGGTCTAGCCACGCTCCACATAGCCTCAGCAGGACCACCACTGGACGGACCAGTTCTGCGTCTGGCCAATCACAGCACTCCACGGACTTAGCACTAGAGTTGAGAAAGAGAAAAATGAAGATGGAAACAGTGCTCGTTTGAAACAGCTTTGGCATCGGCTATGGGATCCTTCTCACTGCTAAGGAATCTCGCCTGGATGTCTTGGCCCCGCCCCGGTTGCCTAGGAGATACGTCATCAGGAGCCGCCAATATGTGTTCCAATGTCAATGTTCTACCAAGGCGTGTGTTCTCCGTTTGTTAGCCATTTAGCTAGCTGAGCGAGGATACACGGGAGGTGTCTTGTAGCCTAGCCTTGGTCAAAAATTACCCAGAATACACCGCGTTATGTTCAAAAGGACGGCGGATCAGAAGCCGGCAGCTACTTCAGGGGCAAATTTCAAGTTTAAAAGTAAGTCAACTAATTTAAAATGTTTTTTATTTTAAATCCAAAGAAGTTTTCTAAGGTTGGTTAGTTGCTTAGTAGTTGCAGCTTCGGTGGCTAGTGGGTAGTAACTCACTTATATATTTAATTTAATAAACATATTTATCATGTTTATTACAAAACAGAAAATTCCGGAACTGTGCTGCTCTGGGTGGCTGCATGCTGGACTCGCTCTGTTGACTATATGTAAGTTTTGCCTTTTAATCAGTTTCCCTCTGGGATTAATAAAGTATTTTTGAATTTGAACTGAATTGAATGTACACAATTAAAAAAAGTAAAAGGCATGTTATATATTTGTATTTAAAGGGGCATTTTGGAAGTGTGACAGCCAAAACATGTATAGAAATAATAAATGTCTTCTTCATACATTCTCCTGCAATGCCCTGGTCCTGTAGAATGAGCCCTGGCATTTTTACTGTGATTGCCTGTTTTTCTGTAAAATCACAGAAAAAGAGAGCTGCTCGGTCATGCGCGTTCACCTCAGGCATAGCCCGTAGCATTTGCTATCAGTAGCTTTAGCAGCAGAGAGTGAGGTAGTGCCAACTCAACGACTTTGTCGCTGTTCCTAACGCCTAGTGACAAAGCTAGCTACATTTCTGAGGACCCTTAGCTACTTTCTTCTAGATATTTCCTGCAAATTAACAACAAAATAGCCATTTTCACTCCCAACCGTTCTTTGAACGTTGTTTCAGCTGTCATCAAGGATATAAAAGTTACAGATACAAAAGACGTCACTGGTGCTTTAGCTCACCTAGTAAGATGCCTGACTCCCGTGCAGAAGACCTGGGTTTGATTCTGGATGTGAACTAAATTTATTTAGAGTTTCTTTTTTACATTAATGGTATATTTTTTTACAGTAAGATGCCCAAATTTTTATTTGAGACTCGCCGAACGGCTTTGAATTCACAGATAAAAAAGATGTGGGTTCAACTTTCATTTTGGAACAATTTTTCAAGCAAGGGAAGGGAATGATCTGAGCATGCAGGAGGACTGACCCATCATAAACCTTTGTCGGCTGTGCTGAAGAGAAAGCTACAGAACCACATTATTTAATTAATTAGCTGCGTGTTCTCCTGTCCTCTGTCCTCCGACACACACACACACACACACACACACACACACACACACACACACACACACACACACACACACACACACACACACACACACACACACACACACACACACACGGGATCGTCTCAGCTGTTATTTTCGTTAAGGAGTGTGCACGTACAGCATGCGCGCCTCGTGCACGAGCCTGCTATTGAAGCTGCCGTTACGCTTTTGGCCTGAGGGGGCGATCGCGAGCATAAAACTTCAAAACTCCATAAAGTCCCTTTAAACTAATATAAAATACAGGTGCTGGCCAGTAAATTAGAATATCATCAAAAGGTTGAAAATATTTCAGTAATTCCATTCAAAACGTGAAACTTGTACATTATATTCATGCAATGCACACAGACCAATGTATTTCCAATGTTCATTACATTTAAATTTGATATTCATAAGTGACAACTAATGAAAACTCCAAATTTGATATCTCAAAAAATTAGAATATTCTGAAAAGGCTGAATATAGAAGACACCTGCTGCCACTCTAATCAGCTGATTTACTCAAAACACCTGCAAAGGCCTTTAAAAGGTCCCTCAGTCTTGTTTTGAAGGCACCACAATCATGGGGAAGACTTCTGACTTAACAGCTGTCCAAAAGACAATCATTGACACCTTGCACAAGGAGGGCAAGACACAAAAGGTGATTGCTAAAGAAGCTGGCTGTTCGCAGAGCTCTGTGTCCAAGCACATTAACAGACAGGCGAAGGGACGGAAAAAATGTGGTAGAAAAAAGTGTACAAGCTCTAGGGATAACCGCACCCTGCAGAGAATTGTGACGACAAACCCATTCAAAAATGTGGGGGAGATCCACAAAGAGTGGACTGCAGCTGGAGTCAGCGCTTCAAGAACCACCACGAGGAGACTCATGAAAGACATGGGATTCAGGTGTCGCATTCCGTGTGTCAAGCCACTCTTGAACAAGAAACAGCGCAAGAAGCGTCTCGCCTGGGCCAAGGACAAAAAGGACTGGACTGATGCTGAGTGGTCCAAAGTTATGTTTTCTGATGAAAGCCAGTTCTGCATTTCCTTTGGAAATCAAGGACCCAGAGTCTGGAGGAAGAGCGGAGAAGCACAGAATCCACGTTGCATGAGGTCCAGTGTAAAGTTTCCACCGTCAGTGATGGTGTGGGGTGCCATGTCATCTGCCGGTGTTGGCCCACTCTGTTTCCTGAGGTCCAGGGTCAATGCAGCCGTCTACCAGGAAGTTTTAGAGCACTTCATGCTTCCTGCTGCTGACCAACTTTATGGGGATGCAGACTTCACCTTTCAACAGGACTTGGCACCTGCACACAGTGCCAAAACCACCAGCACCTGGTTCAAGGACCATGGTATCCCTGTCCTTGATTGGCCAGCAAACTCGCCTGACCTTAACCCCATAGAAAATCTATGGGGTATTGTGAAGCGGAGGATGCAATACGCTAGACCCAACAATGCAGAGGAGCTGAAGACGACTATCAGAGCAACCTGGGCTCTCATAACACCTGAGCAGTGCCACAGACTGATCGAGTCCATGCCACGCCGCATTACTGCAGTTATTGAGGCAAAAGGAGCCCCGACTAAGTATTGAGTGCTATACATGCACATTCTTTTCATGTTCATTCTTTTCAGTTGGCCAACATTAGAGAAACAAACATTTTTTCATTGGCCTTTAGAATATTCTAATTTTCTGAGATACCAGATTTGATGTTTTCATTGGTTGTCACCTATAAATATCAAAATTAAACGTAATAAACATCGGAAATACATTGGTCTGTGTGCATTGCATGAATATAATGTACAAGTTTCACGTTTTGAATGGAATTACTGAAATATTTTCAACCTTTTGATGATATTCTAATTTACTGGCCAGCACCTGTATAACGTTATCTCCCGCGTCACGTGACGTTACGTGACCGCCGTGGAAGCCGTAGTCACGTGATGCAAGTCTGTTCCATTTAACCGTTTTCTTTGACCAAGGAAGGACAGTGTCCTCGAAAGCAAGGCGCCTGGCCTCGCAAGACATCGCCTCGCAAGGCCAGGCGCCTCGACATTGAGAAACACCCTTGGATTATTTAGACTTGTGCTTTTCTGTCAGACATGAGCAGATAGAGGTACTTAAAGGCTCTTTCCGGAGTGTTTCTCTTATCCGATGGCACCATCTAGTGGCTGACAAGCATATCACACAAATACAGGTGCTGGCCAGTAAATTAGAATATCATCAAAAGGTTGAAAATATTTCAGTAATTCCATTCAAAACGTGAAACTTGTACATTATATTCATGCAATGCACACAGACCAATGTATTTCCGATGTTTATTACGTTTAATTTTGATATTTATAGGTGACAACCAATGAAAACATCAAATCTGGTATCTCAGAAAATTAGAATATTCTAAAGGCCAATGAAAAAATGTTTGTTTCTCTAATGTTGGCCAACTGAAAAGAATGAACATGAAAAGAATGTGCATGTATAGCACTCAATACTTAGTCGGGGCTCCTTTTGCCTCAATAACTGCAGTAATGCGGCGTGGCATGGACTCGATCAGTCTGTGGCACTGCTCAGGTGTTATGAGAGCCCAGGTTGCTCTGATAGTCGTCTTCAGCTCCTCTGCATTGTTGGGTCTAGCGTATTGCATCCTCCGCTTCACAATACCCCATAGATTTTCTATGGGGTTAAGGTCAGGCGAGTTTGCTGGCCAATCAAGGACAGGGATACCATGGTCCTTGAACCAGGTGCTGGTGGTTTTGGCACTGTGTGCAGGTGCCAAGTCCTGTTGAAAGGTGAAGTCTGCATCCCCATAAAGTTGGTCAGCAGCAGGAAGCATGAAGTGCTCTAAAACTTCCTGGTAGACGGCTGCATTGACCCTGGACCTCAGGAAACAGAGTGGGCCAACACCGGCAGATGACATGGCACCCCACACCATCACTGACGGTGGAAACTTTACACTGGACCTCATGCAACGTGGATTCTGTGCTTCTCCGCTCTTCCTCCAGACTCTGGGTCCTTGATTTCCA